AACATGCATATATATATATATATATATATATATATATATATATATATATATATATATATATATATATATATATATATACTGAGCGTATAATGCTTGAGATTTCGTCCAATTATGAGCGAGAGAAGTATACAAAACACGATGATCAAGGCTATATCATCAAAATAAATATGGCGGGAAATATTTCGACCTAAGAATAACACCGAAGGACTAGAGGAAATGCCATGATTATGAACATGAATAAAAATGTGAAATCCGACAGCTTTCCCTTCGCCTCTTCTCTGACTAATATCCCCCCCCCCCCTCCGCCTTAACCTCAAATTAACTCCTGTTATGTGCAACGGCTTTGAAGACCCGCAAATAAATATATAAACATAAAAAACAATGGCCAGAAACCATTTTTTTTGTCGCCATTTTTTAAAAATCTTTCCTCCACAGTTATTATTTCTTATCCGCCTTTTCTCTTCTTCTACAATTCCTTCTCCTCCATCTCCATCAAACAACCCTCCATTCTTCCTTCGATCTCCATTACTGCTCCCTCCTTCCCTTCACCCCCCCCCCCCCTCACCGCCTCTATCGACTCCCTAACAACGCCCCCCCCCCCCCCCTCCACCACCCAACACATCAAACCCTCGTCGCCAGCAAGCAATACCACGCATCCGCCCGAGGAAGAGCTCACTTGAAGACAGCTCCTCTGTTTCGCTCCTCTTCCTCTCGCCTCCAAAATCCTCCGAGGTGGGCAAGGGCATTGGAGAGTGTATACATGTCTATAACTCTATTTCTCATATTTCTTTCTCTTGTCACCTTCGTCGCAGACAGATGCACAGAGACAAAGACAGACAGCTAGACAATCAAACAGATGGATGGATGGGTAGATGGATGATTGGATGGCCGGATGGATGGATGCATGGGTGGATGAATGGTTGATTGGAAGGATAGATGAGTGGATGGATGGATGATTGGTTGGATGAATGATTGGATGGATGGTTGATTGGATGGATGGTTGATTGGATGGATGATTGATTGGATGGATGGATGCATGGGTGGATGAATGGTTGATTGGATGGATGGATAATGGGATGGTTGATTGGATGGAGGGATAGATAGATGGATGGGTGGATGGTTGATTAGATGGATGGATGAATGAGTGTATGGGTGACTGGATGGAGGAAGGGAGGGATGGGTGGGGGGGGTGGGAGGAGAGATGGATACGACAGACAGACAAACAGACGCAACACAGACAGACATATAGATATAGGTACAGATATGTAGATATAGATATAGATACAGATATATGTATATATGCATTCCAGTATGCATGTATGCATTCCCCTTTCTTTCCTGATATTCTCTAATCACATTCTTTTAGCCTTGAGCACTAGTAGGGGATGGCAGAAGGGATGAGGTTCTAATGTCGAACAAATACCATAGCAGCAGCAGAAGTTGCTGGCTTGTGGTAGCAGGAGATGCGAGTGGTTGTAGTGGAAAGGCTGTCATGACAGTTGGTAGCAATCGGTAAAGGAAGGCAACATGCGGCAACAAAGGATAACAGGTTGTAATTCACAACCCGCAATAAACTGGTTGCAGCAGAAGGGAAAATCGATAATGGGTGTTTACAAGATGTAAAAGATGACAAAAAAAAATATATATATATGGCAAGTGATGGCACCAAACATTGGCAGAGTAGTGGCAACGCTGTGGTCAGTAATAATAAGCTGGTATCAAAAGATATCAAGCTGATAGCATGCAGTAGCAAGATGGCATCAATGTGACATTAAGGATGCAACATTATGGTAGCACGTAGAAGAAAGGTGGTAGCAAGCGGTAGCAAGGTGAGAGCAGGGCGCTATAACGAGGAGTGCCTAGCTGCCCCCAGAAGTGGAGAGAGATGGCAGTGAGAAACGCTTTGTATCTGTAAGGCTTTTATACATTCACAAACAGCGGAAGTGATACAGACGGAAAGATTTTTAAAAATACAGGAAAGAGAAACATGAAAAAGGAAGAGCCAAAAAAGGGAATTTTAGTAGACAACAGATTTTACGTGCTGATAGAAATGCCGACAAAACAAATGGATAAAGATACAAAAAATAACAGTGTAAAGAGAAAATAAATATCATCTTTTAAAACATACATAAAAAGACATTATACAGCTGATACACATCACTAAAGCAAATACCTGGAAAAAAACAACAGACTCTAAGAAGAAATAGCAAAAAGAGAATTTGTTTCTTATATGTTTGCATTTCTAGCCATACAGTTATTAGAAAATAACAGTAACGTTAAGGGGATGGAGAAGAAGAAGAAGACGGAGAGGGAGAAGAGATCAAGAGGGAGAAGAAGAAAGGATGAAGAAAAAGAAGAAAAAAATGAGAAGGATGTAAGGTGTAGAAAAAACAAAAATAAGAGGATGAAGGACACAAAGAGTAGGAGGATGACGGAGAGGAAAAAAAGGAAAGAATCTTTTGAATATAGTGAACAAGACAAAGAAAACGAGGTTACAAGA